CTCTGTGTTGTGTTTCCTTTGTGTTGGCATACTCCCCTGTGTTGTGGTGTTTCCTTTGTGTTGTCATACTCCCCTCTGTGTTGTGGTACTTCCTTTGTGTTGACATACTCCCCTCTGTGTTGTGGTGTTTCCTTTGTGTTGGCATACTCCACTCTGTGTTGTGGTGTTTCCTTTGTGTTGTCATACTTCCCTCTGTGTTGTGGTGTTTCCTTTGTGTTGTCATACTCCCCTCTGTGTTGTGGTGTTTCCTTTGTGTTGTCATACTCCCCTCTGTGTTGTGGTGTTTCCTTTGTGTTGTCATACTCCCCTCTGTGTTGTGGTGTTTCCTTTGTGTTGTCATACTCCCCTCTGTGTTGTGGTGTTTCCTTTGTGTTGTCATACTCCCCTCTGTGTTGTGGTGCCTTTGTGTTGTCATACTCCCCTCTGTGTTGTGGTGTTTCCTTTGTGTTGTCACACTCCCCTCTGTGTTGTGGTGCCTTTGTGTTGTCATACTCCCCTCTGTGTTGTGGTGTTTCCTTTGTGTTGTCATACTCCCCTCTGTGTTGTGGTGTTTCCTTTGTGTTGTCATACTCCCCTCTGTGTTGTGGTGTTTCCTTTGTGTTGTCATACTCCCCTCTGTGTTGTGGTGTTTCCTTTGTGTTGTCATACTCCCCTCTGTGTTGTGGTGTTTCCTTTGTGTTGTCATACTCCCCTCTGTGTTGTGGTGCCTTTGTGTTGGCATACTCCCCTCTGTGTTGTGGTGTTTCCTTTGTGTTGTCACACTCCCCTCTGTGTTGTGGTGCCTTTGTGTTGTCATACTCCCCTCTGTGTTGTGGTGCCTTTGTGTTGTCATACTCCCCTCTGTGTTGTGGTGTTTCCTTTGTGTTGTCACACTCCCCTCTGTGTTGTGGTGCCTTTGTGTTGTCATACTCCCCTCTGTGTTGTGGTGTTTCCTTTGTGTTGTCATACTCCCCTCTGTGTTGTGGTGTTTCCTTTGTGTTGACATACTCCCCTCTGTGTTGTGGTACTTCCTTTGTGTTGTCATACTCCCCTCTGTGTTGTGGTGTTTCCTTTGTGTTGACATACTCCCCTCTGTGTTGTGGTGTTTCCTTTGTGTTGTCATACTCCCCTCTGTGTTGTGGTGCTTCCTTTGTGTTGTCATACTCCACTCTGTGTTGTGGTGTTTCCTTTGTGTTGTCATACTTCCCTCTGTGTTGTGGTGTTTCCTTTGTGTTGACATACTCCCCTCTGTGTTGTGGTGTTTCCTTTGTGTTGTCATACTCCCCTCTGTGTTGTGGTGTTTCCTTTGTGTTGACATACTCCCCTCTGTGTTGTGGTGTTTCCTTTGTGTTGTCATACTCCCCTCTGTGTTGTGTTTCCTTTGTGTTGGCATACTCCCCTCTGTGTTGTGGTGTTTCCTTTGTGTTGTCATACTCCCCTCTGTGTTGTGGTACTTCCTTTGTGTTGACATACTCCCCTCTGTGTTGTGGTGTTTCCTTTGTGTTGGCATACTCCACTCTGTGTTGTGGTGTTTCCTTTGTGTTGTCATACTTCCCTCTGTGTTGTGGTGTTTCCTTTGTGTTGTCATACTCCCCTCTGTGTTGTGGTGTTTCCTTTGTGTTGTCATACTCCCCTCTGTGTTGTGGTGTTTCCTTTGTGTTGTCATACTCCCCTCTGTGTTGTGGTGTTTCCTTTGTGTTGTCATACTCCCCTCTGTGTTGTGGTGTTTCCTTTGTGTTGTCATACTCCCCTCTGTGTTGTTTCCTTTGTGTTGTCATACTCCCCTCTGTGTTGTGGTGTTTCCTTTGTGTTGTCACACTCCCCTCTGTGTTGTGGTGCCTTTGTGTTGTCATACTCCCCTCTGTGTTGTGGTGTTTCCTTTGTGTTGTCATACTCCCCTCTGTGTTGTGGTGTTTCCTTTGTGTTGTCATACTCCCCTCTGTGTTGTGGTGTTTCCTTTGTGTTGTCATACTCCCCTCTGTGTTGTGGTGTTTCCTTTGTGTTGTCATACTCCCCTCTGTGTTGTGGTGTTTCCTTTGTGTTGTCATACTCCCCTCTGTGTTGTGTTTCCTTTGTGTTGTCACACTCCCCTCTGTGTTGTGGTGCCTTTGTGTTGTCATACTCCCCTCTGTGTTGTGGTGCCTTTGTGTTGTCATACTCCCCTCTGTGTTGTGGTGTTTCCTTTGTGTTGTCACACTCCCCTCTGTGTTGTGGTGCCTTTGTGTTGTCATACTCCCCTCTGTGTTGTCATACTCCCCTCTGTGTTGTGGTGCCTTTGTGTTGTCACACTCCCCTCTGTGTTGTGTTTCCTTTGTGTTGTCATACTCCCCTCTGTGTTGTGGTGCTTCCTTTGTGTTGTCATACTCCCTTCTGTGTTGTGGTGCCTTTGTGTTGTCATACTCCCCTCTGTGTTGTGGTACTTCCTTTGTGTTGTCATACTCCCCTCTGTGTTGTGCTTCCTTTGTGTTGTCATACTCCCCTCTGTGTTGTGGTGCCTTTGTGTTGTCATACTCCCCTCTGTGTTGTGGTGCTTCCTTTGTGTTGTCATACTCCCCTCTGTGTTGTGGTGCCTTTGTGTTGTCATACTCCCCTCTGTGTTGTGGTACTTCCTTTGTGTTGTCATACTCCCCTCTGTGTTGTGCTTCCTTTGTGTTGTCATACTCCCCTCTGTGTTGTGGTGCCTTTGTGTTGTCATACTCCCCTCTGTGTTGTGGTACTTCCTTTGTGTTGTCATACTCCCCTCTGTGTTGTGGTGCTTCCTTTGTGTTGTCACACTCCCCTCTGTGTTGTGTTTCCTTTGTGTTGTCATACTCCCCTCTGTGTTGTGGTGCTTCCTTTGTGTTGTCATACTCCCCTCTGTGTTGTGGTGCCTTTGTGTTGTCATACTCCCCTCTGTGTTGTGGTGCTTGCTTTGTGTTGTCATATTCCCCTCTGTGTTGTGCTTCCTTTGTGTTGTTTTAATTATTCCAGATTGAAAAAGATACAAGTATTATTGATGATGGAAATTTGAAAGTGCAAGACAAGGATGCATGTAATTTTGTTGTCTAATGAGCAAAGCAAAAATAGAAAGAAAAAAAACAGTGTTTTTGGGGCAAACAATATTTATTGCACAAATTTTCAAATAAATAAAAACACTAGGGTCCATAGCACCATATCACTCCAACATATAAGTACATATTGCATAGAAGCTTAATGGATCACAGTCTAGAAAATGTAAGAAATTATATATCTAATTTTTGTCACAGATAACTTGTAATCAACAACCCAACCAACTCCTTTTTTAATTTTAAGAAGTTCTTTATACACAGGGTAAAATTCTGAAATTACTGTAGTATCAACCTGGTAGCAAGGTACAGTACCTTTGCTAGCTCATGAGGTTAAAATGAATGCCAATGGACTTATTATAGATCAGCTCAGTACCAAGGTATAACTTTCATTTGCCTGCACATTGCAATCATCAGGTTTTGGGTTTACACCATAAATCAGGTTATTTATACCTTGCGTCAATTTTCCCACTTTGTTCAAACTCCAATTTATTTCTTTAAATTTGCAGACATCTACATGCTAACTCCTATCTACTATGAGGATGTTTGTGTCCTTTTCCATATTACAATCTTTTTATTCATCATATTACCATCTTTTCATGAATAAAACAGAGAAAGGTGGAGTAAAATACCAAAAATAATAAAGATATCTAATATTTTAATGATTGTAACATATTTAAAACTTCTAAATGATTGTAACATATTAAATTTTTTTAATTTCTGTGACAAACAAATGACTAAAGTATAGAGACTAGGATTCTAGTCAGATATTAACAAGAATGGTATCACAGATATACAAATGTACTTTACATTTACCCAATTACTTAAGTAACAAGTAATGCTATCTGTATATATCAGTCATTAGTTTTGAGACAAAATAGTCATTGGACGGAAAAAATTCACAGTAAACAGTTAAATATAGACATGCTGGTACCAGTGTTTACAATCAAAATGCTACTATAGTAAAACTTTGTGTGTGATCATGCACTTGCATTCAGCATGTATTTGTTATTCACTTCACACCATATGAAAGATCAATGGATTGATTAAGGTGCCTTGACCCAGTACATCCATAGTATACATCATCTACCCAGGTTACAAGATCAGATGTGAAACAGTTCATTTCTAACCTACAGGGTATAATGAGTTAAAAATGTAGAAATTGAAGTCTTTAAATCGATATTTGACAAAAATCTTAAACAAGCTTCATCTTAACCCTAATATATGACTATATACTTAAGTATTTACTTAATGTACATAAAACTTTGTATTAAAATTGCAATTTAACATTCCTTTGACAGGATTTTTAAAATTCATGATTTCAGCAACAGGATACTTAAAGCAATAGACATGTGTATTGAGGAGTAATTTGAGGACAATTAAAAAAAATAATCATATAAGCTTACATTAATCCTTTGGCCGTGCTGTTACTTATACTTACAAAATGTAAATAAATATCAGAATATTTCAGAACCCATTTCCTGGTTGATTAAATGATATACAATTTAATGTACATGTTTTCAGTATTGAAGTAGACAGTAAAATGTACCTCTCAAATATGCATTCTTTATTAGGTGTTTTTAAGACGGACCCTGATACATGTGTAACCCCCTGCCTTATATAAATAAATATATATCTGGATTTATCCTCATTTACTGTCAAAATTAGATATGAGCACATCATATTGATGTTAAGAACATGAAATTATCATGCATCTTTATTTTTCGGGAGTTAGACATCTTCATGTGAGACCTGAAATCACAAGAAGTTGGTAATTGGTATATCAAATATACATCGCACTTCACTGGTTGAACATTTGCAGTCCAAAGATATTTTGTTTATGGGACAAAACAGGCCAATACTTGCATAATTGTATCACACTTTGCTAATTATATCAAAACATAGAAATAGCATACAGGTATAATTTCTTAACAGCTTTATCACATTTGGCTTTCAGTGGTTTTGACACGTTTCTGTTTAAGTGTTTTTTGGGGGTAAAACATACAATGTGATGATCACATCATCGTCTCTCCTCTGATACAACATTTCCCCCTCAAAGTCCAGCAATTTCTGTTTCCTCGCTCTCATCAGCATGCCCACAAGTTTATTGGAGATTAATGTATAAGCTTCAAATAACTCGCCGAAGGGAACTGTGTACACACCATTAGAATGTTTCTGTCCAATATTTGCGATAACACCACAAAGTTCGATTATTTCACTGCTAATCAGCTCTCCGGCCATTTTTCCACGGTACTCTGTTTTCGACCCCTCCACTGGTCGGCCATAACGGGGATCATCCTTACTCAATGCCTGTCTGTGAGAAGCACCCTCCCAGTCTGAGAATGGGTTGATCAATTGCTTTTGTTTATGGTCCTCTTCCCGCTGTTTCCAAATTTCAACATTCTTTTTCATTCGAGAAGCCATTTTTCATCCTTTATTAAACAGAATGTCTAGATTCCTGTAAAAATATGAATCAATACAAGTTAGATACATCTTATTAAAGTATAGTTTAGTATATCATATCATAACTTGTACACAATGTGTATCAATGATTACTCAATCAGTTTGCTGTAAAGATTGAGAAAAAAGACAGAGAAGAATTGAAAACAAATCAGTTTTAAAAAAAGAAAAAAAATCTCTGTCCTGATCCAAAGCCAAAAACCAGCCCTGTTTGAAGAATATTAATTTCATAAGGCTACTCCAGAACAATCATTTAAAAATTTTGATGAGTCCCCATTCTAAGAGATATAGTGATCACGAATCCCCTAAGAAAAGGATGAGTACAGTTGAAAAACAAAGTAAAGGGCAATAATTCTTCCAAACATGTCAAATAAAAAACAAGCTGTTCTGGAACGCACAAATGAATTCTTGTAATTGCTTTAAAACCCATTACCAAGTTCAATGAAAAATATTACAGGTTTCAAACTAAGTGCTTATGGAGATCATCTATATGCTGAAAACACAACTGAATTTTAACTCTTTACAAAAACTTCATGCATTGTAGCGACTGATCTCCCCTCATAGACGTATTATTAAGCGTGTAGTGTACAGTGGGTGGGCAGCAGTTTCACTTATAGGCCTGAGTACATTAGTTAAAATACTATTCTGAGGTTATTCATGGATTTCTTACAGATTGTAGATGGTTCTTTTCTTACGATGTCGCTGCTATGGTAATACATAGGTCTGCAGACTATACTGATAGCTAGAGAGCAATACTTCATTACAATGTAACTGAGACCTGTTATACCGATATATGGTCAGAATAATTCCCACTACTCTGCCTCGCACAAGCACGGAATAAACCAAGCGGATACAAGCACTAAAGTTACACGTGCAAACACCATGTTACCACTATGCCTATGTAAGTTGTGAGACTCGCTTCTACAATGTAATGCAAAGATTTCACTTACAATCAGATGTAAGAAATCCCGGACTTGTAAGCGCACGCATTTCTCCCGACATTCTACATCGTAATATTAGGGTAATGACTAATGTCCAAAGCAAAAACGGTGTACCGAATTTCTAACGCGGAATACGTAGACCTAGCGAAAAAAACCACTGATTATTCCATAATATTTTGTCTAAACTTACCTGCACATTTTACTTCACCTATTGTGTATATGTCTGCAGTTATTCTACAAGGATATTACGAAGTCCTGTCGAAACCGGACAGTCATCCGAACTTTATTACCGCGCACGTGCAAATAAATGAGCCTCCTGTAGTTGGAGATACTATTTTATGACCCTAGTTTTGGTCATAACAATCTAATGCTCGTTTTGCCATGTCGATATTTCATTCAATGAATTGATTCTTGCATAACTTAGTTAGAACTTCATATTTAAACATCTGTTTAAAAACGTTTAGCTAGGCAGCGACACATAATGGGAGATGCATTACAACTAGTTACACTTTTATTTAATAGTTAGATTTCTGTCATTTGATAGAATGTCATTTTTGAAACAAAGTAATACCGTATACATATTTCAATTCATTGACTAAATGAGCAACGAACTGTGATAACATTATTTATGGAATATACACAGATGTGCATGTATATCTATTTACTTGTATCTTGTTTTTGAAGCTGTCGACGATGCAAGTAAATATAAATGGATAGGATGTAACGAAGTATAGATGTTAAGACGTGTTCTTAACTCATTCTTGATGGGATTTCCGATAAATAACCACATACATATATAAATTAATTTTCAGTGTCCGGTTTAAAACATTTCAAATCTTGTAACCATGGCAACCACACGTCAGAAATCAGGGAAACTTTTTCTTATTTCAATTGATGTAATTGTTATGTAGTTTATAGATATACATGTTAGAGTGTACTTTTCATAACCAATTTGCTACACATGTATATCTCAAACATGACCAATAATTACAGGAAATTTGCAAATTAACCGTTTCCTGCTACCTAAGCTATATAATCTTGTATACGGTTCAAATCCTGTGACGTCACCAAATCTATGACTTCGTCGTTTGTGCACTTTTTAAACATATATATGTATATGCAAAAGTAGTTTTGTAGTGTTTTACATTTATATTTATAGGACCATATACATCTAATGGTATCTTAAGACTGTTATTTAGCTTTTTCAGGCCTGAGGAACGCCTACACTAATTACAATATTAATGGGTTTTTTTCTTTCGGTGATGTTAATATCATTAAAAGTGCAGACACAAAATAAACAGATCGATGGAAATGGTTTTTTTGTGCAAGTCTGTGATTCTGTAAAGAGAAAACCAATTGAAATAAATAAATTGAGAAACATAGGGAAATTATACCTCTTATTTTACCGTTTTTGATATTCTTGCGTATTATGGGTTCTAACGGCACTAAGATGGCGAGGGTTTACGTACTGATTGTTACAACGATACCGAGGTAGAAAGACCAGCCGTTACCACCAATCATGTTTATAATCAGTTTTACCTGCTTGGAGACAGGAAAGATTTTACCGATACGAATTATGTAGGCTCTCCAGTGTAATTTCTTCCTTTATACCATCAACATTACT